GCAGTTGTCCATTGTGGTTGCACATCAATGTATATCCCCCAACAAGATATAGATTAATCAGTCTGTACATAATTTGACATCCATATTCCGTCATTCAACTTTCATCCTTCCAGAGTAAATAAACGAGTATCACCTCATAGAAAGAGAAACAGGAGCCGTATGATCTCTTTGTCACATACTAAAGATATTGTCTTAAAACAGACGATGAAACGAAAGTCAGCATTATGAAAGCGTTGATACCACAGATGATGTCTATCATCGAAATGTAGGGTAGGATAGCATCCCGGTGTTATACTTCACAAACTTTCTTTTCTCTGTTTTGACTCAGCAGATATATCTTCTGCTAGGTTCACATGGGATGAAAACATACGGTCATCACGACAGCACCACTACCTGCAACATTCCTTTATTCAGTAACTAACGAATCTGCATGAATGTCATGAAATCATTAAAACATTTTTTCGCTCGAATCTTTGCTGGGCATTTGGCATCTAATGCAATGACAATATACTTAACTTCTTGTTTTGCGCTTGTTTCGAGAAACACACTATTCTCGCACATTATCGCGTTTCAGATAATTGATTCCGCGGTCTCACTCCTGGTACACATGGATTTTATCAATCTCAGTAGTAAAATGGCGTTTCTTCATGATTACCTTGGCCTATATTTTATATCCATCCCTTGCACGAGTCTGAAAAGACCAGGAAAATTGGCGGACATTACTTCCACAGGTTCAGTTTTGTTGATGATATCCAGGGAGTATTTTCTGCACATCTATCATGGTCGCATTTTTAATCAATATAATAAATAGGTAAATTCTTTAGCGGTCTGATTCAAACAGTTTTGACTTTTATCTTGCAGATTTCTTCCAAAATGACCATAATACCACAAAGTTCATAATATGTGTTCTCTTAGCAAGTGACAGACAGCCAGTTGGTATGTCCTGTGGAAGATTAAGCATCCGTATGGTTGTATCTTCGAATACACTTAGCGGCGTCATTGAACGGTTGAACGATATTCTTCAAGGCTTTGAGACGACTCTCTCGAGATGTTGATTAGGTCTGCAATAGAACAAAGATACCACTCTTGCCGTTACTCTCAGATCAGAGTCGGATCCATCCGTTCTACTTTTACTGGCAAGGATTTTAAGAGAGCCGGAGCTGTTAGAGATATCGCTTGTACATAATATTCCTTGTATATATATTTTATGGCCTTGTATTGTTATACAGTAATCACGTGTAAAGATGCGCTTATGATGATAGCGACTTGTTGCACAGTTTAATAAATCTGAGTGACTAAGTCTCCTGAGAATCCTTATCAAATAAAGCTATTCTCAAGGCATGTTTCTCTAAGTCATGAATATTGAAAATTCTGCAAATCAATTCTTTACTTTTCATTCTCACGCTCCAGAAGACCTCCTGAAGCAAAACTTCATTTTAGTGACTACAAGTGCATTATTTTTATACCTTGAACAGATGATATAGAAATACTCCTAACTCTCGGTTGAAAGAAATTTGTAACTTAAAAGTATTTGAACTCGTTTGACGAGTGAATCCGTTAATATGTTAACCCTATCGTTAAATTATGCAGTGCCTATCATTGGTAATAACGATGTTTCCTGACATTTTCTTTAGCATACTTATGTTATGTTTTGATGATTGTTTCAATGATCTGTTTTTATACAGGCGGGTGACAAAGCAGATGTAGACAAGGCCGTTTTGGCAGCCCGTAAAGCCTTCGAAAGAAACAGCAAGTGGAGGTCGATGGATGCCTCCGCCAGAGGTAAGCTGTTGTGGACGCTGTCCGATTTGTTGGAGAAGAACATCGATGAAGTTGCGGTATGTTTCTCATATTCGTCTGATGGTCTAGTCTAAATGCTCTGTATCCTTTTGATTAAAAAACCTTTTCTCTGTATTGAAAAACTATTCATGGTTGGATGGCCTTCATATACGCTGAAAAAGAAATAACTACTGACACACTGTCGCGTTACATGTGCGTTAAATAAAATCATCTGCTTTTCATTGGCTTGTTATCCACGACTTCATGTCTCTGTGAAGACTTCACGGGTGAGTGACTGTTAAACGTCTGAATTTGAAATCGTAAATTGGCAAGACCACTGTTTGAAACTGTTGTATCCATGGTACAAAGAAACTGATATCGCTGCAGCCTTTTAATGAAAAGTATCAAGAAATGTGCTATTTAAGTGGGAATGCAAAACATCGTTACCTCCTCTACGACTTAAATGGTTATGCTGAAAATGAATGTGTTAACTGTACAAGATATTTCGAGGTAGTTCTTTGTCAAAGTTGGTCAAGCAAGCAAAGCTGATTACTGATATTTGGAATAGAATCTGCTATCTCATTCTTCTTATGCTTCAAAATCCACCCTACACCTTTTCATCAAATCGAGCTTTCTTCCTTTTTTACCCGTGCTTTCCCAATCTTCTTTCCCGTACTTTTCATAACCGATATTCATGTTCTGCTCCGGACCTTTAAGTGTAGAACTCGTATTGGTGGCTTCGATTTTGAATTTCGCATCAAAGAAATTGTACAACTTATCCTGAAAGCTTGCCTGCGCATGGGCATGCATCTGTATCCTATTCGCCATCAATCATCCACTTCGTGAGGCTCTGTCGTTTTGTATAGGCCTCCATCCGGGTACGAAATTAAAATTACTTAACGTCCGTCAGACGATGCTGAGAAGAGATTCGGTCATTCATGCATTGGCTCGCATCATAAAAGCTTGCCCATTGTAGTTTTTTGAAAGATGGCATAAAGAGCCTTTTAATTTACTTGCCGCATAACACGTGCTTATGCGTTTCTGTTTTTAATTTTGTTCGTCTTTTCTGAAAGATATGGCTATGTTTCATATACCCAAGCTGTGAAATACTTGGATTAAATAAAAACGATTCTTTTGCTGTCAGTTGCTTTAGAGTATTATTGTCAATTCAAATTTCTGGACTTGGCTTCAAATATTGCAAACTGTGATGCAGTTAAATTTTAGTCACTTGAATGCCTGGACGCTGGGAAGCCTTTCAGGCAGGCGGAAAGCGACGTTCATTTGGCAATCAACTGGCTGCGCTACTTCGCAGGAATGGCGGACAAGATCTGCGGCAAAACCATACCCGTTGATGGCAATTACATGTGCTACACCCGCTGCGAACCCGTCGGTGTCGTCGGGGCCATAGTGCCGGTAAGGCTTTTAGCGAATACCGTAGTTATAGACTGCCTTAAGTTGCGGCAAACTGCTCGGACACCATGAGGCATGGTAGCAGTATTATTCACTTGCAATGCAATATTGTAAGAAGTTTGCGATGAAGTGGTAAAATGAACAAAAAGAAACAATAATTCAGATGTATTAAATATATTGTGAATACTACAAACATTGAGTGACACCACTAAGCAACAGTGCTGGAATAACTTAGTTGTGGTGCTTCATATATAGTGATTCTTCGCTGTAGGTAACTATTTAGCACTTCAGTCTAATTAATTACTGTAATTCTGTTTAGTGGAACTTTCCGCTGGTTATGTTTTGTCAAAAGCTGGCCCCTGCTGTCACTGCTGGTTGTACGTTGGTAATGAAACCCGCAGAGCAGACGCCGTTAACAGCTCTGTATTTGGCATCTCTAACCGTTCAGGTATTTTTTACTGAGGTTTTTTTATTATACTCTTTTTAAAACATGGCAAAAAAAATACATTTCGAGACTGCAGGTTTTTATGTATACAGAACTTTTATGTTTTTATAAGTAAACTCTGAAAGTCGTTCAGTTACTATTGTATGAATTTACTGCCATTAGCTATCCTGTACCATATAATGATTTGTCTGATAATTCTGATGTAATGTAGGCCGGTTTTCCACCCGGAGTCATCAACGTCGTCACTGGACTTGGCAGCACTGCTGGAGCCGCGTTGTCCAGCCATATGGATGTCGACAAAATATCGTTCACCGGAAGCACTCAAGTGGGCCGCTTGATCATGAAAGCGTCAGGGGATTCCAACCTGAAGAAGCTAACTCTCGAATTGGGAGGAAAAAGCCCATTGGTCGTTTTTGCGGACGCTGACAGTAAGTGCAAAAAAACAAATGCTGAGTTTCCGGGTGACTGACTTTTTGACAGTTGCGGTATGGCACTGCAATGTTTGACCCTCAATGAAATTAATTTCCTACAGCTCCTGGATCAAAACCCACAAATATAATTTATTAGTTTTGTTATCAGAATGTTGTTTTCAACGCACGCCAGGATTATTTAAAACTTTCCATTTTTTCTATAAGCATGACTTTGGATGTGACACAAGACACTTCCTTCTCTTTTAATCCGGCGTTTCGGCTTCCGGCACAAAAGCCATCATATGTCATACTTCACAAACAGTAATGTGTTCCTTGATAAACATCGTTGTTTATGAAATGTTCTTTCTTTAATTGGTATAATTTTGTTGCAAATTCTGATTAAAACATAAAAGGGAACGCGTTGATTTTTGATTATCGAATTTTTTTAAGTTAGCGCAGAACGTCTGCTTTACCAGGGTCGTGAATGAAACGTCTGGACGCATACTTAATCATCATGCAGCTTTATTACTTCGTTTAAATCGAACAGCATGAAGCATTTGTGACCATTGCTTCCACCATTCTCTGGTAACATACAGACAAA